GAACCTCGTAACGTCCTTCTTCATTGATTCCAGTCGTATCTTGAAATAGTGTCTTTACATCTGCTAGATGTGCCTCCTTGGTTTTAATCTCTAAAGGATCTGCGATTCCCAAGATATCCAGCTTCCACAAATTTGATACACTTGCCTCCTGCGATAGCATGGATACGACCATAAGAGCAGCATCTTCTCGTGTGTCGACCAGATTTTTTCCCAGGAGGGTCCACCCGAGTTTTGTCTGTATGGCTGTAGCACCGTCATCCAGCTGGACTACTTTTCCCGTGAATAATTTTCCTGCAACATCAGCTCCTATTAATAACGTAATAGGTTCTTTACCTTCTGCTGTGTCGTATAGTTGCACATTATTCTTCTCGAGCGCATCTGCCAACGGCTTATAGTTCATCTTCGGTGTATCGTGACATATAACATTTTCCTGGAAAGCTATAAAATTGCATTTGTACTCTCCGTTCGGATGATCCACATGAACTCGACAAGCCCTATGTTTCTGTGGGGTAGTCTTGCCTCCTCCAAACAACAAATGCACCATTGTTTGTTCGCCCACGACATCGTAACCGAGTTCGTCTGCTACTCTGCTTAAAATATAAGACTTATGTGAACCCGTGTCAATAATAGCACGCGCCTCTCTCGTACCTTTAGGGCCGCGCAATTTAACTTTTAATAAAGGTAAAGATACGTTAACATTTAACGAAATGTTAGAAAGGGCGCTATTTTCTTCCTTAAAAACCTGTTCCTTTGATTCCGCTGCTTTATTCGGTTTATTATTGCCCGAAAAATCTCTGCACATTAGCAAGCAGTGTCCCTTTCTGCACCAAGGACATTTTTCTTTGCTGCGACATCCTTTGTAGCCATGACCGGTCTTCAGGCACTTGAAACAGCCACGCTTATCCTTGACAATGTTGACTCGTTGATCCATAGGCATGTTTCTGGCTCTCTCACAATGTATGGCGTGATGACTTTCCTCGCAGAACAGACATTTGAAGGAAACTGTTCCCTTCACCGCTAGTAGACCTGCTGCTGTGGCCACGTCAGAATCTTGACCCCCATTCTTCACCTTCTTTTTATTCTTGTTTTTCGACGGATCATCGCTCGTGTCAAAGCACGTTTTAGCCATTCGGATGCGCTCCTCGCTCTCCACTTCTTTGCCTAGAAAAGCCATTAGATGTATAAGACGATCTTTCGCAGTAGTAGGCGCGTCTGCCGATACCGTTAACGCTCGTTGCCATGTTTTTAAAATTTCCTCCGGCAACAAGGATTCGACGAGTGGAAATAACATTGCGGCGCACATGTCTGTAGTCACGCCTAGCGACTCTAAAG